TGTATTTGCAGAATTTTAATCTGTGTGGTCATGGGTGTTTGCCCAATTCCCTCAAAATATTGTACATTCTACTCTGAGCAATGTAGCTTCTGGCTTTCTATTTCCCATGTCCCTCACCTTGCTTTTCCCCCAACCCTTGCTCTCGTGAATTCTGTGACCTTTTTTGCTTGTTAAAGACCACTACTGGTCAGTTGGCAAGATGGAGTCTTCGCCAAAAGAAAATCAGATGTGTAGATCAGAGTAATAGTAGGTGACAGTTGTGGGTGGATCTTTTTGGAATTTTGTTACATGTATTTATCGTGGACCCTGTCCAAAGTTTCTAAAAACTATTTGTGTAATAGTTGTATTGTTAAGGTAATCTTGCCAGAGCTAAAGTAGGAGGTTGGCCATTAAGTGAGGACAATCAACAGAGCAGTAAATACTGCCAAAAATGCACGGTGATGCAACGGAAGATGACCTCCTGCCCTTTGGCTCCCATAACTTCCATGTCCTAGGACCGGATGTTTTTTAATTTTTGTGTGCCATCTCTCAGGCCCTATGCTTCCTTTTCATTTCATCTTTGGGTGTCTCTTAATTTAAGCAGAATAAAGGAGAACTCCAGAATCCCTAACCCTAGCCATTTCTTATCTAAGACTAGTCATTCCCTTATTCCACCAACTCAGTAAGCAATTTCTAAATTTCTAGTAGCATCTCAACCTCCTCCAACCACATCCCGTGGTTAATAGCATGAGCTTTAGCAATGGAGGGTGTCCCAGCTCTGTTGCTTATAACTATCCACATGACCTTGGATAAGTTACTTACCCTTTTTAAGTTTTTGCATCTTCATTTGTGAAATGGGACTAATAACACTGCCTCATAGTGTTATTATAGAAATGAAGTGAGCTAATAAGGACTTCAGAGCTCCCAACACATGGTGAGCTCTTAGCAAATGTTAACTATTATTACTATGATGTAACTTTTTCATATGTTTCAGTTCAAATTAGAATCTGTATAAAAAACTGTATACTGTAATGTCCATTTCACTGACTGAAGGTCAATATCCCAAATGGAGGAGTCTGCAAACAGAAGTGGTTATTTATTCATTCATTGATTCCATCAACAATTATTTATTGAGCGTATGCACTACACAGGACGTACTAGCCTGTTTATAAGTATATAGCAAGGGACTATTATATCCTTTGGGTCTTGTAAAAGAAACCCAAAACTGGATTCCTGTCCTCAAGAAGATTTCACTCTAGTAGAAAAGCCATAACTCAATCCAGGAAGAAATAATGCAGAAACTAAGACTGCTCATCAACAGAAGGTGGTATGCACACTGTATGTTCTCAGAGGGTTCTAGAACGAGCATGAGCAGTGTCTGGCACATAGTAGACACCCCCAAAACACTGGTTGAAGGAATGAGTAATGAAAGAGTCAGTGAGATGAGTGATGGTTGGTGACAAGGACTCTTGGCTTCAGTCCAGCTCACTCCCAGGTCTCTGCCTTTGCTAAGCACCAATAGGCACACTGCAGTGAGAGCAAAGATCACTGACCATGTTGGCCACACCCAAGGTTACAAAGAAATAGACAGAACTAGCAACTCACCCCAATCCCCCATAGCCCAATCTGTGACCTCATGTAGGTGTGATCCCTCTAGGACTCACCTCCCTTTGTCTACACCCACTTGTACTTCGTCTACTCCCACAAAGAGACAATATCTTTCTGCAGCTGTCATCAAAATCTTCCAGCTTAAATCTCAAGTCCTTGAGATTGTCTGGGAGATCTCCTGCAGAGAGTTCAAGGGTGGGACAACTTAGTTGCTTAATTCCCATGGAAATAGCTGCTACTCTTGGCATAGTGAGTAGGTTCAACTGAATACTGCTAGGTACATAAAAGTTGGGACTTGTAACTAATAATGTGATTGCACTCTAGTAGTGGGTAGAATAAGCATTTTCTGAAAAATCCCTCATAAGCATCATCACTATTTTATAGTACATGTCATTTCATCACCACTACAAACATACTGTCTAAATATGTTTATTTTGTTTTGTTTTATTTTTTATTTCAATGAAAGTTTGTTTTATTGTACTGATCAGCTTAATTAGAAGCACTGGGTCTCATAAAATAAAAATCTGTTTTACATTTCTGAAATTAATGGTAAGATGGGGTCTTTACATTTCTGAAATTAACGGTAAGATGCTACAGTTTTGAAGCAAAGAATGTGTGGGAAGTGGGTATAGCAATAGAACCTGATGGCTTTATCTTTTGGAAAATTATTTAAGCATTTTGATTATTTGTAAACTTTGCATACAAAAACTTCACCTTTTCGGTGTGTAGTTCTGTATATTTTAACACATACAGAGATGTGTGTAACCACCACCACAAACAGGATGTAAAGCAGTTCTATCAGCTGAAAGTTGCCCCTTTATAATCAAACCCTCCTCTATCCCAGTCCCTAGCAGCCACTGATCTTCTCTTCATCCCTATAATTTTTTTTTTATTTTCCAGAATGGCATGTAAATGAAAACATATAGTAAGCAATCTTTTGAGACTGTTTTTCTTTTTCACTTAGTATGGGGCATTTGAAATTCATCTGTGTTTTGCACCAATTAATAGTTCATTCCTTTTTGTCACTAAGTGATATACTATTGCATAAATGTTATCACGGTTTACTTATTCCTTTACCCACTGAGGAACATTGGGGGATGTTTCCAGTTTGGGGAAATTATGACTAATACTTCTGTAAACATTTATGTACCAAGGTTTTATGTAAACATAAGTTTTCATTTCTCTTAGATGATACGCAGAAGATGGTAAGTGGGCCATATAGTAAGTGTACGTTTGACTTCATATGAAAATGCCAAACTGCTTTCCAGAATGACTGTACAAATTTGCATTCCTACCATCAATGGATGAGAGTCCCAGCTGTTCTGCATTCTTGCTCACACGTGGGGTTGTCATGAATGCATCTTTTAACCATTCTGTGTATATTGTGGTATCTCTTAATCTGCATTGCTCTACTGAAGGATGTTGAGTATATTTTCATGTGTTTACCATTGGTAAGTCTTCTAGGGTAAAGTATCTGCTTATATATTTTGCCTATCTTTTTTGGCTGGGTTTTTGTTTTCTTATTTTTTGAGTTTTAAAAATTCCTTACAAATCCTGGATACAAGTCCTTTGCTTCCTCCTCATCTCATTACTGGAAGAGATTGTATGGAATTGTTATTCTTTCTAAATTGTTTGGTAGAATTCATTAATGAAGATATCTGGGCCTGTAGTTTTTTTTCTTTTTCTTTTTTTTGGAGGGTTTTACCTATGAATTTAATATGTTGAATAAATATAGGACTATTCAGGTTATCTGCTTCTCATTGAGTGAATTTTGTTAGTCTGTGTCTTTTATCCATTTTATCTAAGTGGTCTGATTTATGTGCAGAGAGTTGTTTGTAGAACTCCCTTATCTTTTGTATCTGTGAAGTCCACAGTTGATAACCCATCTTTCATATCTAATATTAATAATTTATCTTCTCTGTCTAGTTTTTTAGTAAATCTAGTGAGAAATTTATCAACTTTATTAATCTTTTATAAAAACCACCCTCTAGCATTAATTTTCTCTATTTTTTTCTTGAATTTCTTTAATTTCTGTTTTACATTTATTATTTTGTTAATGTTGCTTTCTTTGGTTTTAAATGGCTATTCTTTTTTCTAGTTTCATAAAGTAGAAGCTTAGATAATGGATTCGAGAACTTTATTATTTTCTAAAATAAGTGTCTTACGTATAAATTTTCTCCTAAGCACTGCTTTAGCTACATCTCACAAATTTTAATATGCTGTATGTTCATTTGAATTCAATTTAAAATATTTTCTAATAATTCTTGAGACTTCTTTATCAATGAATTTCTTAAAGTGTGTTGCTTAATTTACAAATAACTGGAAGTTTTTGGATATCTTTCTGGATATTAATCTAATTCGTTCCATTATGGTTAGAAAATGTATGTTATATAATTTCATTATCTTAAATGTAATGAAGTTTGTTCTGTGACCCAGAATGTGGTCTATTTTGGTAAACGTTCCATGTATACATGAAAATAGTATATATTTTGTTCTTGTTTGGGTGGCATATTCCATAAATGTTCATAAAGTCATGATTATTGATAGTATTGTTTAGGTCTCTTACATTCTTATGGATTTGGGGGTCTACCTGTGCTATAAATTACTAAGAGAAGAATTGAAGTCTCTAACTATAATTCTTTATTTCTCTTTCTCCTTTCAGTTCCATTGGCTTTTGTTTTATCAATATTGAAGCTCTGTTATTAAGTATATTCACATTTAAGGTTGTTATATCATCTTGGTGAGCTCTTTTATTATTATGTAATATCTCTATTCCTGACAATTTCATTTTTCTGTAGTCTATTTTGTCTAATAGACTTACATTAATGTATGTTTATATATTATATTAATAATTATGTTAATTTAGACACTAGCTTTCTTTTAATTAGTGTTTGCATGGCAGGGGCTTTCCCATCCTTTTACTTTTAATTTATCAATATCATTGTGTTTGAAGTGAATTCTGTAACAGCATATAGTTGGGTCATCTTGTTGCTTTTTTATCCAATCCAACTATCTTCAGCTTTTAATTGATGTGTTTAGACCATTTATATTTAGCTTAAGTACTAATATGGTTGTATTTAGATGTATCATTTTATTACCAGTTTTCTATTCCTCTTTTCTGCCTTTTAGATTATTTGAATATTTCTTGTCATTCCATTTTAGCTTATCTGTTGACTTGTTTAGGATACTTTTGTTTTATAACTCATATAGCTGTTTCTCTAGGGATTATAATACACATACCTAGGTTTTCTCATGCTACTTAGAGTTTACTATTTCAAGTGAAATATATAAACCTTACAACTATATAAATTCCTTGCCCTTTACCCTTTCTGCTGCAGTGGTCATATTATTGAACATAAATATATAAACAATGCTATCAGATATGTTACAGTTTTCACTTTCAACAGTCATACAAAAATATGAATGTTACACAGGGCCATGTCATCCTTTCATTGGGGCCATGCCACTCTTCTCTGTATGGTTTCTATTTTAGAATATGTGCTGCCAAAGTGAGTGCTAATAAGGTTTTTAAGGTACTTTCTTGGTAAAAATTTATTCAAAACTTGCACCGCATTTGTGAAACTAAGGGCTGAAGTCAGACATATAGTGTTTTTATCTGGACAAAGCTAGAATTGACTCTAACCAATTATGCTTTAACATTAAAGGGTACAAAATAAAGTTCTTTTATCTTTAACTAAGGCATAATTTGGAATTGAAAACAGAAAATATGCACAAAAACAGTTTATGACCAAAGAAGAATTTTTTGCAGCATGAAGGTTTATAATATCAAAACTATCAGTTATCTGCAGGGATGTCTAAATAGGAGATATTTCCTATAAATTGTTATTGCAAGGGATCTGTCCAGTTTTCCAATAGCCATAGACATTTGGAGAAGATAAAGTGAAAGTTAACTCTGATAGGTTTGGGATTAAGGAAAGAGAGGTCATACCACACATTGGTTAGATCATAGCCAAGGAAGTGATCTAAAATATGTGTAACACATTTTTCATTAAAATGCAAAACAAAAAAACAATGCTTTAGGTCTTCTATATGCTATATATGCTCACAGGCATTTTATGCATATAATTTTATTTGCTACTGTCACATTGCCATTAAGAATATTGCCCATACTTCAATGCAGGGATGTTTTGAGTCTGTGCATCATGCAGTGTAGGCACCAGACTCCCTCTGTAACCTTGGTCCTTCCCTAAAGTATGTGGTCATTGGCTCGGAATGTACAGCTGTGAAGGTGACTGTTTCTCTAAAGGCTTTGGTGATGTAAGCCTGAAACGAAGCATGAGGAAAGCAATTAAACCTCACCTTGATTAAGCTACAATGTGCCAGGTTGGGCTTGGTGACTGCTTTCTTCAGGGAGGAGGCTTTTGCACTGGGAGGCTGTGGGGAAACAGCTTGCCATAAAGGGTAGTGAGGACACCTTTCCCTCTTCTTTGTCTATTAAATGCCTGACCTTTCAGGAAGGTTCAGCTGAAGTGCCTTTTGCTCCATGAAGCCTTTTCCTCTCCCTACCGCAACCATGGTAAATAGTCTCTACATGACAGCTTGTCTAGCTCCTTCATCTTCCCAATTCATGTGGCAGCCTTAGTTTTCCTTTCACGTAACTATTATTCTGAATCAGATTTTGATCTCTGTTAAGACCATTCAAACTATGTCTTCATTTTTTCAAGGTTATTTCCATAGTGTGCACTAAGGGAAGCAGTTTGTAGATCAGTTGAGAGCACAGGCTCAAGTCTGTCTGGGTTTAAATCCTGACTTCACCATTTTCTAGCTGGATGACTAGGGGTAAGTTACTTAAATACTTCATGTCTCAGTTTCCCCATTGTAAAATTGGGATCATTATACTATTTGTAAATATCATACAAGTTCAGACATGCAAATTGCTCAACACTTTTGCCTAGCATTTAATAAGTATTATTACTAATTTTTTTAATTAAGGAATGCATTTTTTTATAAAGCTATGAAACAAATATATGTTTTAAGGAAGGCAAGACAGAGCACAAACAGGATTGACTAAAGAGAAGCCAAAGAAGACAATGCGAATTTGACCAGATTTTGGTGCATAAGATTTACTAACTATTTTTTAAGGAAATAAAGGGTGGGAATGTCTGTTGGTACAACCACTTTAGAAAACCTATGGCAGATGGGCACTGTGGCTCATGCCTGTAATCCCAGCACTTTGGGAAGCCGAGGTGGGAGAATTGCCTGAACCCAGGAAGCAGAGGTTGCTGTGAGCCGAGATCACGCCATTGCACTCCAGCCTGGGTAACAAGAGCGAAACTCCATCTCAAAAAATAAATAAATAAAAAGAAAACTTATGGCAGTATTTACATAAGGGAGCATTCTCATACACTAGCAAGTCCACTCCTAAGCATACATCCAAGAGAAAAGTGTCTGTGAATCCAACCAAAAGATGTTTGACAGAATGTTTATGGCAGAGTAGTTATGATCTTCAACTGCACAAATGTTCAGAACCAGGAGGAGGGAAGGGAAGGACCACCCCCCCCCAAAAAAGAAAGGGGCAGAATAAATAAGTGTGTAAATGAAAATGGATGATACACAACTACACAAAGCACAATGGATGACTTTCAAAAACATAGTAATGAGTGAAAGAAGCCAGACACCAACATTCCAGGCAAAATGATCCTGTGCTGTTACAAGCCAGAATAATGGTTACCCTGGGACAGGGGAGAAGGGAGAAAAAATGTAGAGAGGAAGAAGCAGGAGAAGCTTCTAGGGATGTCACTAACATTTTATTCTTCATCTGGAGCTTGTTACATGGGTGGATTCAATTGTGAAAATTCACTGAGGCATACACCTACAATATGTGCATCTTTTCTGTGCTTGCATCCTACTTCACTAAAACAACCAGAAAAGAACAGGAATGAAGTAAGATCAGAAAATAAAGGAAGAAATAGAAAATAAAAGAAAGGGGAAGAAAAAGAAACAAACCCAGAAGGCTGAAAGGCACGGATCCTACGTTGGGCGGCACCTGAGCAGGTTGACTCACCCCTCTGCTCCGGCGCCAGCCACCCTGCCCTGTCCCTCCCCCACGCCCTACTGTGTGTTTGCTCAACCCAAGAATGGCAAATGCCCCTTTCTTTTTTGGGGGGGTTGGTGGTCCTTCCCTTCCCTCCTCCTGGTTCTGAGCATCGCTAAGACACAGGAAGGACTTTCCAAGTGGGTAACGCTGGTAGTGGAGTAACTCGGAGGAGCTGATGCTTTATTAAATAAACAGAAGACTTGAGAGCCATCTCCTCTCTTCCTTCCCCTTCCCTTTTCCCCTTCCTCTGCCCCTTCCCCTTCTCCTCGACTCTCTCTCCCTCCCTGATTATCCTCCCCTAGGACACCCTCTGGGCTTTTGTCCCCGCCTCCTGCCCCGCGGGGTCTCAGGGCGGGGGGCGTGGCCAGGCCCAGGCCTGAGCTCCCGGGGTGTCCCCGCCGCGTCCCCGCCCGGCTGACCCCGCCCCGCAGCCAACGGCTATTTTGGGCACGTTGGCGGCGGCGGGATCGCTGACAGTCCCAGATCCTGTGACACCTCCGGGCAGCCCGGCACTTGTTGCTCCCAGGACCTGTTGTCATCCCCTTCACCGGGTTTTTCCCGTAGTCCCCGGCCCCCTCCCGAGACCCCGTGCCTGGGCTGGAGAAATAGATGGTTTTGTGAAAAATTAACACCGCCCTGAAGAGGGGCCCCGTTGGGCAGCGGCAGGAGCACAGAGTGCCGGCCCGGGACCTGCAAAGGTGGCGCCTCCCCAGCCCGGGACGGTGGCCCCGGGCGCCAACGGCATGACAGACTCGGCGACAGCTAACGGGGACGACAGGGACCCCGAGATCGAGCTCTTCGTGAAGGTAGGTCAGGGTTCGGGCACCCGCTGCACCTGCCGCGCCTCCCGCCGGGCTCACACACCGGGGCTCGGGGTGCGCTGGACTCCGGACCCTCCCGGGAGGGCAGCGCGGAACCCTGCGCTCCCCCGTGGCCTTTCTGCAGGTCCGCGCCCCGCTGCGGGACTCCTGGATGGAATGGAGGGAGGCAGGTTCAGGCAGGTGGCTGTCCGCGCAGAGTCGGCCCGCGGTTTGTCAACCCCCGCCCCCGCCCCCGCCCCCGCTGTCACCATTTGCTAGTCCGAGTCCAGAGCCCTGTCCGGGCGCGATTCAGGCTGGTCCTGAATGACGCCTCCAGGTGTAGGGTTGCGGCAGAAACCTGGACCCGCGAGCCTTTCCTCTAAAACGAGAGGAGGGGCAGGGATGAGAGAGAAAAAGAAACATTATTGACACAATGATCTTTGGCACAGCGAAAGTGACACTTCTTAAAATTCCCTCTTTTCGCTCAGAGCTCCTCAGATAAAAGCCAAGGAGACGAAAGTGTTTTCTTGCTTAATGCTTGCAGAGCAGAAAACAAGCACTCCATTCCCCGACGTTATTATTTTTTGTCATAATCATGATTTTTCAAGGTAGTATCAAGGAAACGCTAGGCGTTTGGTAATAGAGAGAGACTCCCGTTCAGCCTTGTGCAAACAGGGATGAAGAAGCACAGTGCAAATTTAAATGAAGTCGCCTAGCCGTTCCTAGGGTCAAAGCTGCTCTACTTCATTTGTAACCTGTAGGAGGAAGGCTGGAGGCGAGGCCGAGGCAATGTTTCCCGCTGCGCGGGTGTAAGGAGAAAAAAACATTTGATCAGCCCTCGGTGCCGACGCTACAGAAGTAGGGAAACCTGAGGCTGCAGCAGAATAGCCTCCAGGGCCGAGCAGAAAGAGTCGCCAGGACTTGGGGGAGGGGAAGTCGGGGACTGCCTGAGCTCCAAGACCTTTCACAAAGGAGGAAAAACTCTCCCAGTGCAAAGTTTCCCTAGAAATACGCAGATCTCCGAAAAGGGAAGAATCACTGGTGCCTGTCAGGGGCCTCCTGGCAGAGTTTAAAAGGCAAAAATATTCCCTGGAATGGGGAAGATGTTATTTTGCCCAAAAGATTCTTCTCTGCAAGCTAATTAAATAGATGTTTGCAAAAAGTATGAGATCTACATAAATCTTGAAAACAATCCATGGTCTCTGGTACTTTCTGACTCCTAAAATACATAAAAATGAACTGTGACTTATTTTACACTTGGTAGGCGATGTGTCTCTGTTGTCCCAGCCTACCACAAAGGTTAAATTTCTTCTGCTGAATTTTACATTCTTTGTGTCTATTTTTCAAACTTCCACCTGACACTCAGTGACACTTGCTTTTTTCAGCCTGTTCTCTCCCCACTGTGGCCCCTGTGCACTCCTTTGGTTTGCTCCAGGCAGGATGTCCAGGTCCTTTGGCAGACCCAGGTAATAAGAAAGGTCATGTCTGTGTGATGCTGGGCAGTGCTGGACCATAGGGCAGCAAAAGGGTGTTCTGAACCCCGACATCCAGGCTTGGGGCCTAAGGAGTGAATACGGAGAGTTTTAACAAAGCGAGGAGTCTTGCTGCTCTCCTTGAAGAAAGCGATTCTAGGACTTACTCAGATTCCCTGAGAGTAGG